GTTATACTCATAGTTGTTTGTAAATCTAGTTAATCATCATCTTCTTGAAATACTTCTAAATGCAATCATTTTGCAATGAGGCTAATATTAAATTTGGCTATCTTTAAATTTACCATAACTTGGAAAAAATATGATAGGCCTGCGGTTAATTATAGATAGACAAGTATATAGATGTCCCCCATCAACTAATAAAATAATGTAATGTCTATATAGTATTGCAATTTCAAAAAGCTTCCAAATTTCTACAATATCAGATAGCTATACATAATCTAAAAGAAAATGTAAAGATAATTGAGGTCTATCAAGGTGGTCCTCGAGAAAGCCATAATCACAATCTAGCTGATCAGAATCTTCCTGTATAAGATTAATAGATTCTTTAGGAATTATTTTTGCATGATACAATAAAGCTCTATTAATCTGTTGTTTTTGAATAGATTGAATATGTGCTAGTAGGTATTTTTTCATTACCACAAAAACTTCATGAAATATAGGTTCAATAACTGAAGGCGTTTGGTGGGTTGGAAGGCTCTGGAGATATTCATTATGATGAGCCTACTGAGCTTCATTGTCTAATAACTGTTGAACTTGATCATGTAAAGAACACAATGAAGAAGTACTACTAGTGCCTGTTTTAATTAACCTATTCATAACTTCAACTCTTTGTGTGCTTTGGATCCCTGCGGTAAAAAATCTGACTTGAAAGCACTTTGTCCATGATTTATAATAATTATTTAATATATGGTTAAGATATTTACAGGATTGAGGATATTGTTCGAGCAAGTGTGTCTAGTGATGGTAGAAGTCATTCTCATATAAGCTATTTCGGGCATATAAATTTTTTTTATAGAATGGTTCAAAATCCTGACCAAGTTTACTTTGCAAATTTTTCCACAAATTTTCTTGAATATGGAATATGCAAAGAAAATGATGAGTCGTAGGCATTACTGAAGCTATTGCATTAATTAATGCTGGATCCGCATCCAAAAATAAACAAACAGGCTGAATGTTATTAGTTGCTTGAAGAATACAGCCAAGTTATCATTTGTAGCTTTCAGCAGTTTTATCTTCCAACAAACATTGCACAACAAGTCTGCTCTTTGTATTATTATCCACGACAACTAACAAAGCTAGATACATGTCAAACCAGTTAGTTTTATATGTATTATCTGTTTGCACTACGTTGTTATAAGTATGAGACATTGGTACTGACTAGGTGATATTCAAAATAATCCAATAAGTCAGTTGTCAAATGGATCAAGTTTTGTAATAATTATCCAGTCAGGTTCTTGACCTTTTAAAGCTAATAATTTATGCTGGGCATCACCTTGATACTTGGTAAATGGTGCTCTAAATTTTTGAACAGCATTATAGAGATCTTTTTTGTAAATTAATTGATCTGAAAAATTTGCAACTAATAAAAAATATATCTGTTTCGAACACATATTTCCTTTAGTTACATAAAATTCAATTTCTTTCATTATGTCATCTGATAACTTGCAATATTTAGCATTAAACAAGGCCATATTAGGCACCATATTATGGTTATACTTATCAACAATGCTTGTAATAATTATTACTGATGATGATCTCGACATATTAAGATTTAAATACCATTGGCATTTAATTTTCTTAGATATATATTTGTGTTGTTGGCTTGAATTAATAACTTTATTCAATACAGATTCTCCAAAAAAACTGCATTCAAATGTTCGACGACATATAACTCTAGCTTTATTAACTTCAAAACGCTTACGGCATAAAGAAAATTCTAATGATTTTGTATAGTTTTCCAGATATGACTTAGCTTCTTCCCATGAAGAAAAAGAATCACCTTCTTTAATAGTAATTTCTTTTGTGGAAATATATTGAACAGTAGTATCTGGGCAACCTTCGATATTTAATAGATAATTTTCCTCAAAACTTCCAAAGTTATCTTGAGCAGCTACTTGATAATTCTCAGCATCTAATGGATAACCATTCTTAAAATTTCCTTGAATGGATGTTTGGTGATCTTCAATATCATTTTCAATAATGTTCATATAGTCTTCTTTAGCACTTATATTATTACAAATATTTTCTGGGTGATATTCCTCAATATGCTCAAAATCATCCTAAACAGTATTCACATAATTTTTAACCATTATAAAGTTGTCTCGAATATGAGATCGTTGGCTTTGTTCATTGTACACAACAAAAGATATATCATTTTGGGTATCTTATAAAAGATTTAAATTATTTGACCCATTTGTTGCTTTAGTTTTCTTCAAACAGTGTGTGTTTTTTTTTTTTTTTTACAAACAGGCAGGCATTAAATGTATAAAAATACTTTTCATTACTTTGTTCGTTAAGCCTTGAATTTGGAGGCTTGTATAATGCCACACTTAGATATTTGCGTCGTTCTTTATTCTATTTACTAAGCTTCCTTTTTTTATTACACTCATGAGGTACCTTAATGAAAAGGAGATGAACGAAAATAAGCCAGATCATATTTAATGGACAAGAGAATGACGAAAGAAGTCAGATTATTGTTTTAATTGTTTTTTTTGTATTTTATAGCATATACTAATTATATCATTTATCCGATTAACCTTACCCCGCATAAATAATACTGTAAAAGCATAAACAAACCGTTTAATTAAACTCCGATGATTAATTGCCGAATAATTTATTTTATTTTGTGTTATAGTGATGATCACTGGCGGTACAGGAGCGACCATCGATATTACACAACTGATTTTTCACCCGGTGTGCAACATATAAAAAAACTATTTTACAATACCAGATCATTCCGACAGTACATGTTATG